TCAGGTCTTCTCATCTCAAGGAACAAAGTCATGAGAGCAAAACACCTCACACCAGTGCACCGGTGTCAGAAAACAGACAGTCAATTATTTATCCAGCAGGGTTGTTGAGGAACGATAGATTTGTCGGTGAGGTTGTGTATGATAACTCACTGTATGTGACACAAACATCAAACAAACACACAAGCGCTCACATATTGGATTTGCTGGCTTTCATTTTTCCTTCCTTTCTCCATCTTTTCTCTCTCAAACTCTTTCTGTCACTCATTCCCTCTGTGATGAAGTCATGCCTCCATGCCTGGTGTTGTGCTCCCCACTAACATGGCCTTGGTTTGTTACTACTGAAAGCCGTTAACCTTTGACGATGATGGTTGGGGTGACACACATGATTATTATCCATAAGATATCAGCTCCATTTACTACCTCCTCTGGCCTGTTTCTCTAAACCCTACAAGTTTAGGCTAGTTTGAAATATATCTACTGGCTTTCAGCATTTTCCTAGAGTATAATATGCTGGTTCATGGTTGGTTTCTGTCACTTCAGTCATTGACAGATAATTTATCATCATTGACACTGGGTAAATGAATGGAATGGATGGCTGACTCAACACTAATAATTTCGCTGCCGTTATAAGACTCCATAATCTCCATAAAACTGGGGATAACCCAGCTAAAAAAAAACAAACAGATTTTACATTGATTAAGTTGTTAGTAATTTAAACAGGCAAAAACAATGTCTTAAAACTTGGAACTTTAAAAATCACCATAAAGCACACAGTTTATTATTACCTAGCTTACTTACATACCATAGTCGTAGACATGTTGGACAATTTTGCGGCTTTGCCACTCTTTCAGCAAGGTTTATTGTTGTTTTGCAGATATGGACTTCACCAAATAACACCTGAACAATGGCTGTAGCCCAATAATCCTATCACAACCCTCAGTCATGGTGCTCCGTATCCAGCTAACCTTATCCGGACCTAATCAACAGCAATTATAAGAACACACAGTATAACAACAATAGCATCGACTATAACAAACAAAAGGGGGAGAACTCACCCTGTTAAGAGTCCCAGCAGTCCTTGCGAAGTAGTGCTGTTTTAAACGTCCTGGACATTTTCCTAGGGATCGCTGCAATATATTTCTAGTCAAAAGAAAGATATGGCAGTAATATTACATAGCCACTAGAATACCATTTATGTATTTTGTATTTACAAAACATGGAGAAATTAAAACTTACCTGAAAGAAAATGAAAATGTTTACTCATATTTAAATGACATTTTCCAGCTTCCTATTTAAACCATGGTGCAGTGGTGAAGCCTTGTGGCTGAAATGAGTATTATCAAAACAAACGCATTTATTTTACAAAAAAACAAAAATTGAGGAAATTTTTCCCTCCTCCCATTTGTTTCACAAGTGGAACATATTTCACCAGTTTTACACATAAAAAACTAAGAAAAACTTAAGAATTCATTCAATTTAATAAATAAATATATAAATTTAAATTCTTTCACCTGTTTAACAAATTCTTAGGTCATAAACACAGCAGAGAAAAACCACAGATCAAACTTAGATCACCAGAATTAAATATGCTCCCACTTGCCTCTACGAGCTTCTGTAGTAGCTCATTGACATGCGTTTAACAGTTTTCTGACAACAGCAGAGGAATAAGATAAAACCTTTACCTGTACTTGTTAATAACATACCATATATAATTATTATATATAATAATTTATATAATAACACACAACCATAAAGGTGGCAGGTCAGAAAATGCTCATATGGCTGGTTTTAGACAGGTTCGTAAAGCCAGAGCTGAGCAGATGTAAGGAGATTTGACTAGCATTTTATATTTTTAGAATATACGGTGAATTTATTTATTACATTGTTCTCACAGCCCACATTTCATTGTAATCAGATGTCATTCTGTCACTTAGCAGCAGTTAACTGCTTTATGTCAATTAACACTCAATGTACTGTATATTAATGGACCTCATTAGCAATTTTAAAATACTTCCTATGCTGTAAATCAGTTTTATATGAATTGATGGGGTTCTGAATAATACAGGTAATAGGTTTCTTTATTAGTGAATTTAGGTATCCTCATTTTCCTGGTTTTCTATTATATCTTTTAATACAATTTCCTCCTGTCTGTCCTTCAAGCTCGCCAATTTGTTCATTACCAAACTGCATCAGCATGATTGATTTGTCTTCTTTATTGACAAACAGCTCATTGTAAATAAGAGTCAGAAAGTTAACAGCTACAAACTCATACGCATGATGTACAAACATTTTACCGTACACGAAACAGCACGCACACATTATATTACACACACACAGGATGCACAGGCGTGCACATACATACAATATATTACAGTATTAAAATACATTACAGTGGGTTGCTCTCACTACAGGAGCAGTAACACCTATAACAGTATTGAAGGTAAACAAATAAAGGCAGACTACAACTGATTACTGAGCAGTTTTTCTGTTTTCAAGTGAAATCCTACAGTAAATACATAATGAAAAGTATGGCAAGCAATAGAAAAAATAAATTAACATAAAAAATACAAGACTTTCAGTTCAGGAATGTTGTATGAAACACTGTGAAAGACACACTGAGCAAAGGTTAAGGCTAAAATGAAAAATCTGTCCCTTTATGCTTGGGTCTTAAAGCAAATATTACATTTGGATGGAAAAGACTGTTCACAGTTTGAGGATAAAAGCACTCCTGGAAACCCACAACAGAACAAGCAAGGGTTTGTGTAAATATATTTTTAAGAAGTGCAAGTTGATTAAGAGTCTACAGCCATGTCAGCCGCTCTGAGATGATATGCACAGCTGTGGGCTAAATGCTAATGTCGGCATGCTAACATGCTGAGGTGTTTAGCAGGTATAATGCTTGCCATGTTCACCATTTTATTTTTCCTGTTAGCATGCTAACATTTGCTAATTAAGGTACAGCTGAGGTTGATGGGAATGTGATTAGTTTTGTAGGTATAATAATAGGTACTTGGTCATGATGATGGCGGAGCATGTTATGAAATCACCAAAGTTATTATAACACACAGATGGGTGCATGAGTGTCTGTGCCAAATTTCATGACAACCTTATAGCTGTCATGATATCTCACACACACACACAAGTTAGCATCATGGTGGTGCCTGAGAAAAAGCAAATATACACACTAATAAGGAGAAAACCTCTATTTAGAGTGTGTACAGCCACACTGTTTACTTCATGTTTGTCTGATGAAACACTGAATGACTGGACATATGGAGTAAAGGTTAGCAGATAAAATGAGATAACATTTTAAGTAGAAGGTCATTACTTTTACAGTTATGGAATAAATGATAACCGGGCAAAGCAGCAACAGAGAGAGAGAGAGAGAGAGAGAAAAGCATAATCTCTCTCCACACCCAGCCTCATTTTTATTCAAACCCCTTGCTGCTCCCCCCTTCATTCTCTCTCTTCTTATGTTACCTTTCTCTTCTCCTCCTGCCCCTTCTATTACCTATTCCCTTTCACTTTTTTCATAACTCAGGCCCTCTCATCTCCAGCCTCCCATACAGTATTTATTACACCAGAGCAACAGGAGAGCTGAGTTGGCCCAGCTTCCAGAAAGTAACTGGAATTAAATGATAAATCCACCCTATTGCATTCACCTTGGGCCTATTTTGTTCTTTAGTAGTTTATTTTTCCTATTTCTGTGCTTAACTGGACAAACATAATGTGACATCATGTTGGTTTATTTCCAGCACAGTTACAGTGGAGTCTGAATGGAGTTTACAGTCTGCAGCTGTATCTGCAGTAAATGTCAGGTTTTGGTGTCAGTCCTTCAGAATCCACGAGTGAGGGCCTCTGTCTGCAGCTGGCATTTATAGCACCACTCAGCAAAGAACAAGGTGAAACTCATCATAATCGTTTCTATCCACTGTAATCCCTGTAAACCAGAATGCACTGTAGCTTCATAAAATGTAGAGTTTCACAGAGGCGGCAGCTGTGGTCACAGATACACCCTAATTCTACTTTATGAACTGATCGGGTAATGCTATATGCTAACACGTCAATCTTTTTGAGCGCAGTAAGATGTCCATGAAAGTGTGAGGAGCTATTTCGGGTACCTTGATTCTGGAAGTAAAAGTCCCATTCATGTTTATATTATGTACACTCCAGTCACAGACATAACCTTCTGTGAATGTGCAAAATTGAAACATGCCGACCATTTTAACCCCAGGGACAACATAAACTGTGGCAGTGAAAGAGTTTTTTTGATGTGTCTGCCTTGCTTTTTCTTGGTGCAAGTCAAGCTGCTTTTACACAAAGCCAGTGAGATGACATCATTTCCTATCGCCACCTTTGTTTATATGAGACGAATGGACATAATTTGAGAAAATGATTCAGATGATATTTTTCCTGATCTGGACCGGATTATCTTTAATTCCGCATCATTCGAAGAGTCAGAGGGGTCAAGAAATACCTTCAGAAGTTGGGTGCGTGTTATGAAATAATGGTGCAGCGTTAAAGCAACTTGAATGAGCCTGAAATTCTCCTGGTTCAATGATCAGTATTAACACTTAACAGATTAACAAACATATTAGCAAATATTGGTTTCTTTGATTTAAAAGAAACAGTTAAAAGATACAAGCCTGTAGACATAAAAACTTAAGAGAAAAAGTTAATGACAACTCCCAAGGTTCAGTTTGACAAGCAACAGTCAACCCAAAAGCTTAAATTTACAAAATAGAAAAAGAATTTCAAAAACTTCAAGGAGGGACATTTGCTGGAAGGTTGGTGGTGTTTTTTCGCCCCAACAAAAGATCCTTCAAAAAATAAAGAGAAAAAGAAAAAATGACAAACATTTAAAACTTTTGATATAAAAACTCAATTTCAAATAAAAAGGATAAAAACACAACTTACATTTTCCCTTGAACTAGACGATGAACCCAAGCATTCAGCAGATATATAATCAGACAGAGTATTAACTCTGTTCATCATTGAAAACTTGTCGTGTCAGTCATGCCCACACACATAAACAAACGGAGAACAAAGGTTTAGTATGCTTCTCTTTCAAGGGGTGGATTTAGGGTGGATTTAACCTTTAATAAGCACTTCATAAAACTAACATCAAAAAAGTTTTCTCCAATGACTCTTAAATCACTTAATCTTGGCTTAATCCTTTTATACAGTGTATGATTTACCAATAACACTCCTGCCCATCGTGTTCCTGAGATACCCTCTCTGTGGTGAATATTGTGCTCAAACCAAGACGTCACTCGTACGCCTTCAGTGTCTTTTCACAAATACTGTTACAGTAATGTAAAATGTCTCTAACATCATTAAGTGGCAGAAGAAAAAAACATGAGGCAGACAGTTCTCTAAAGATGTTACATAATGTATTAAGATGCCCGTCTGTGTTGATAGCTTTCATTTCTTCTGTATGGCAGTTTTTTTTTAAGGTTGCATTCAATATGGGCTTTTAGGCACACTAGTTGCCTCACTGTTTATTAAACCCCCGAGCCAGCGCTGAAACTGTTTTCCAGAGGCATCAACTTGCAGCAAATTATGCCTCTGCACCAGTGTCATGCTCCCAGTTGATCTCAGTACTTCCTGATAAAATGTTCAATAAGCAGTTGTTGCCAGGCAACAAACGCAATTCCGGATACGCCAGTGGATTTTCATGGAAAAGTGGAAACTGAAATGTTTGGCGGTTTAAAATAGTTGCAGACCTTTCAGTGTCACAGTGTTCATAATTAAAGGACTTTGGTTCATCCCAGCAGTGGAGAGCAGTGGTGCGGGGCGAACACAAACATATTGTCCTACAGGCCGAAACGTGTTGAAAGCAAACAATTAAACGCAGTCACTCCTGTCACCGTGAGCACGGCTTGCAGCGGATGACAAATATAATCACAACATCCGATCAATGCTGCTGACTGGTAATCGTTGGGATATGGGTGCACATGCATGACCAGAGGTATGGGCTTAGGGGAGAGCAAGCCTGCCGTTGTTTCACAGCTGGTTATCTGCTCAGCGCTGGGATAAAAGAAATCTCACAGTGCTTCTACACCAGTGCGCCCTGGAGTGAGATCAGGCCTTCCTGATATCATATTCTGTGAAGACTAGTGCGTCAAACATCACATCTGAGCATTAAAAACCCACAATATCTTGTTACTTTTATCTGACATGAATGAAAAATCTATCTTTACTGCTTGTAAATGTGCACTGCATAAGGCCCAATGCTGAAAAGGTTGCTGTCTGCAGATGAGACTGAATAGGCCACGTCCTGTCATTTCATCTGCAAACTGACATAACATTATTAATCAGTGATGTCAAATGGGAAATGTGACTATTAAAAGAGACTCTGACAACACTGGATTAATACAAAGGGACCCTGACCGGCAGCCCACCTGCTGAAGAGTAATGATTATCATCTGGACTGCAGCCATACGTTTCTGACAAAAATGAAATCTGTTTACTGCGTGGACAGAACATGAGCATCGAATTTCTGGTTTGTTTAGGCGCTCTGTTAATGCTCGACTGCCCGTCAACTTTAGGGCTTGCAGCCAAATCACAAGAACACTGGATGAGAATACCTTCTGTCTTTTGAGTTTCTCTGGCCACTGCAGTTCGTTCACAACAGGTGCATCTCAGCAGCTGGTAATAAACACAGTCTCATAAGCTGGTTTTCTTCTTCTTCTTCTTTACTTCCCAGCATACAAGTACCTTGCTTCCTAGCTTGGAAAAAGACAGAGCTACAGAGTATAATTCTTCATCTGATTTGTGTTGCCATTTTCTTTACACAAAGGGCATTTGTGATCTGATTGTAAAACATTATCCATTACCAGTTCCTTCTGAATTATGTATTTTAAGTAGCTAGCTCCCTAGACAGAGGAGTTTATCTCTTAATGGCTGCACTGAACAGTCCGAGTCAAATTCAGTTCCAGCGTTGAGTCAGGAAAAGGAAGATAATCACAGAAAACTCACAAAATACTCCAGTGACAAGTGTCCGATGGTGCTGGCAACAGTGAAAGTAAATAAACAGGAAATAAACCTCCCATATCGTAATATGTACAAACTCTTCAATATGAAGATGGAATCAGAAACATCCCATTTAACTGTTGGCTCTTGTCTAGATTCAAATGGTAGCAATATTCACCAACATGTGCAAGCAAAACATATGAGAGATACTGTAACAAGGTCTGCTGTGGCTCATGTCGCAAGAAACTGTTTTACAGATGGTTTGTCACGCTCCTGGTCCAACTGGTTCTCCTTCACACAGTAAATGTCAGACACTTCTCTCTTCACAGCAGTGTTTGTGTTTTCATCCTTACATAAAAACCAGATCATCATTCCTGAATAAAGGAAGCAACAATCGATCTGTGCATTTCAGGGAGGGGATGGAAGTTATCTTGCGGGCAGTGTTTGAGTGAAAGGGAATGAAGGATTGAGATTGTAGCCCCCTTAGGCTTAGACACTGGTCATTAAATCCTTACAGGAAGCATTTAGTTGAAATCAATTTGGGAATCCAAATGGCATGAAAAAAGTCAGTCCAATAAGTGAAGGAGGGATCTGGCCACTGAGACAAATAAATGGCAACATGATTGTTTCAAAGCCTGTAAAGTGGCTAATAGTAGCAAACCACAGTGCGTAGAGGGGTAAAGATGACAGGCTGTGTGTACACAGACTGTTCACTGGTCAAAATATTTCATACTGTATCACTCCCCTGTCTGGTTATACAGATTCAGTAGGAGACTGGTCATCAGTGTGGTGCCTCATGGACTGAACACTGGTCAAGATTTTCTTCTGGTGTCCAGCTAAAGAGACACCGATCCTCTGAAGGTCTCTAGGAAAACACAAAAGCAGATATGAGATTGTACTGTCATTACAAAACTCTCATATTAACATCGCTATTATTAAAAGGTGCTATGTGTAGGATTTTAACCGCAAAAAATCATTACTATGTTATCATGAACGACTGCACTGGCATTAATATAGAATGAATATGCAGTGCATCTGATTCAGGGCTGTTTTTGACTTGATTAAATAATGCCCAAGTAATGGCCTAACTATTATTTTACAGGCTGACAAATAAACATATCTGACATAATTCTGTTTTAGCTTTTTTAACTTTTTAAAAGTTACAGTCTGAAGAAAAACGAGCTTTATGGATTACAAGCACCAAATAATTTAAATTAGTTAAAGACCAACAACATTCCCCATACAGAGACTAAAACTGATAATGGATCGCCTCTACTCATAGCTAATGCAGCAGTGTATTTCTCTGATGTGTTTTTCTTTATTTTTGAACAACAACAACAACAAAGATGTACCGTACAGACGAACAAGCTGATCCAAGACTGACAGACATTAATTGTGAATATAGGCAACTCATTGTTGATTTTAGTCTCTGTATGGAGACTGGTGAAAATACTGTTAGTATAAAAGATGACCAACTTCATACTTTAAGAAATTATGCTTTGGAGGTACATTAAATCAGTGAGGTGACATATTATGAACACCATTAATTTAATTTTACTGATTCTATAAGGAGTCTAGGGCAATTTGTTTTCATAAGTATCAGTTTATATGGGTAGAAATCTGTTCATAGGACCTAACGTGCCTAAATTTCAAAATGTACACACATCATGAAGAATTTATGTTGTAAAAAAAACAATAAAAAACCCAGGAAAGGTGAGTTCTAGTAGGTTCCCCCACCAATATTGTATAGCAAATAGCTCTGCATTCTGCATGAAAAGTGTAGTCTACAAAAAGAAAAGTTCACTGGTTTGTACCCTCCTATCTGTTGTCTCCACAATACCACGCTAATCCTTTGCTTTTGACCCATCCTGACTGTTTATAAGCAGTCACACTGTAGTGACCAGGGATAAACCTGAAGTCTGAGGCTGGTCAAAGGTAACACCAAGGACCTCTAGTGAACCATTTAGAGAGTTTGGGGATCCAAAGAAACAGGCTCAGCTGATATCCAGCAGACCTGAACCACATACTCTCTCTCTCGCTCTCTCAAACAGGAGCAGTGGTGTCCATCTGTCTCCTTTATCCTGCTTAAACAAGCCTGTAAAGAGCAATCAAGCCACATCTAATAAGGCTAATGACAAAACACACCAACAGCATGTTCATTACCAAGTCAACTTCCACAATTTCTCAAAACGACAGCTGGTGAGTTAAACACTTATGGAAAAATTCACTTCTAACACGCTAAAACATGTCTGCTTCAAAAGCATGAAAGAACAGTTCATGAGCAGAAACAGGTTAAAAAACAGTTGCTATATATTTCACAGAAATACACTGATGTTCAGTTTTGGTATTCATGCATTTTATAACATGATAAAAAGAGAATGAAGGGATGAAACTAAGGAGGTCAGAGTGATTGCTCAGACAGGCACATAGGCATGCAGATGAACCAGCAGCCCGCCAACCAGCTGCTGTGCAAGTCGGCCAGTTAACAAGATGCCGACTTGGCAGGTGGGCAGTGTGAGACGCAGACAGACCAAATGAGACAGGCAGTTAAACGCGTAGACTTACTCAGCTGTGATTTGTGTGACAAGTGGCAACGAGGTGAAACCTGAGCCCAGGAAGGAGTCTCGATACTGAGTCATCTTCAGAGCAGCCAGCCAATCTTCCACTGAGCTCACCCTGCTCAGGTCTGGAGCTCCACGGTCTAACAAGGGATGATGGGGAGGACTGCAGAGAGTGGATACAACAGGGGGGCTAGAAAAAGGACTCTATCCCTGAAACAGAGGGATGAGCAACAAGCGTTTGTAAATGGTATCTCTCCTCACCCTGGGGCCATGTTGTTGGTACCGGTTTTGAGAGATGCAGGATTGCGTATCATTTTGTCCAACATGCTGACAATATCAGGGAACTTTGGCCGTGCATTCCTGTCTTTCTGCCAGCAGTCCAGCATCAACTGGTGCAGCACTACCGGACAGTCCATGGGAGCTGGCAGCCGGAAATCCTGTTCTATGGCGTTTATCACCTGGGACACAGCAGGAGAGGGGCTGAAAAGGCTCCAGAGCAGAGATATTAGCGACTCTGCTGTTTCCCTCAGCTCCGACATAACCAAAGGGGGTTAACTAGTTTCCCAGATCACATTTAACTGATTGAATTTGTGTGCATATGCTTGTTTCACTGAACGAGATAAGACTTTCATATACAAATTAACATGCTTGTTTCTGACAAGTTGTTTCCACTTTATTGGTGTGTTTTTGAACAATCCCACTGGGACTAATGGGAGTTGTAAATAAAGTGTGGAAAATATTTGACACATATTCCTCACTGATGCCTGCTGCAGTCTCTGATGTCAAGGTAGTTACTGTAGTTTTACACATTGGAGCTTTTGATTTCATTATAGCAGTGCTTTCCGGTTGGAGTTTTGTATTGTAGAGAGGTTGTGCTAAATACAGCGGCATACCTTTGAGCACTGAATGTGATTATCCTACATCACAGAATTCACAACTCCTTTGACTGAAGGAGCTGTCGGTCATCCAGCCTTTGTAATGACAAAACCCTGGGACACAAGTATCATTGTCTTTTTGCTTGATTTTAACAATATGAGTGAGTGTTTTAAGCTCTGATGCTGCTGCTGCCATTTTTTGTTCAAATTTTAATGATGGACTGTGCCTTTAACAAAGGCAAAGTGCCATAAACCTCCTTGATATAAAAAAAACCTCAATGTTTATTTTTCTACCACTTCTTGTAAATTTTAACTCCCAAGCCTATGTCAGTGTACAGCTAAGCCTACCTGAAGTTAAGCCGAGGGAATGTGGTGCTTCTACTGCTGTAAATGCAGCGCCGGGGATTTGTCTGCTTGCTGAGTGAACTCTACTTGACCCCGACATACTTCTCAGGATTTGTGCCGCATAAATTCTTTCTAAGCACAGCTGTCAGTCAGTATAGCAGCGAGTGTAGTGAAACATCACAGGTCTCTTTCATGATTAATTCATGTCAAACAGAGCACCTGCGGTGGCTCCGCTGACAGTTTCACCGTTACATGTTCTATGAAAATGTGTGTGTGTGTGTGTGTGTGTGTGTGTGGAGCATGTGTGAGTTTAGAGTGTGAGGTTCATGCATAGTTAATGCCCCAACAGACCTTCGTTAGCTATAGTAGTAACACACACTTTCCCCATCATTATACACAGTCTGTGCCATTATAAAACTGTCTCCGTCATTACTGCTGGATAGACACCTCTATTGCTCAGGACTAACCAAGGAAAATGAGGGGTGAGGATGTGAGGGAGGAGATGAGGAGGAACAGCAGGGTGGAGGTAAGAGACAGGGAAAATGTGAAGGAGAAAGTGGAGGTGATGAAGATGTTAGACAGGGAAAAGGGTCTTTGAAGGCAAAAATATTTACTTTTATTAATTGAAAATGAGTGTGTGTTAAAGCTGGAAAAGGATTTCACCACTGATTCAGTGGAATAACTGACCAGATAGAAAGAAAAATGAAAACAGGTTCAACATTGCTGGAAAAGATCTGTGAACTTGAAAAAATAAATATACAGTAATTTTACTAAGGGGAAAAAAGTTCTTAATTTTTTATAAAAAAATTAAACACAACTGAAGCCAGTCAACAGTTTTTGTCTGATTCTCCACAGCAGCAAAATATATTATAAAGTTTAAACTGAAGTCTGTGTCAAAGCCATTAGATATATAGTTTGAGAAAGCAAGAAGTGGGATTTAGAACCTCAGTGCTCTGAAGTGGGTTTAGTGCCAAAACCAACCAGAATCCATGTATCAATTTTGTTCTCGGAATTGACACCTAAAAATAAAAATGTCAGCAATCCGATCTTCTTGAACCTCCTTTTTCATGTATTGTACATGATCCCCTTTAAGTTTAACCAGTAAAACTGAATACTCAGCCCATAAAAAAAGGTCAAGAGAGAACTGTACACTTCTTGGCCTGACATTTTCTGATCATTTCCAGCCTCAACAAAAAACAGTTGTTGCCAGAGGTAAATGTAAACTCAAATCACTTAACACTGGCAATAAAGTTGCAGCAAATTGATGATATGGTGACTGTAAATGGAATAATGTTAAAACAATATAACATTCCCTAAAGAAAAGATCTGCTGGAAAACAGAAGCCTGATGCAGCGTGATCTGATGCTCCAAGGAACAAACACTTCTGTGACATTTAAATTCTCATTTTCTGTGCTTCTTCAGCATGCAGACATCCTGCTGTTAGAGATGGCAAAGGAAACAAACAAGCACCCCCCCCCCAAGAAAGACAGTGACACAGACAACACAAAAACACTAAATATACACAATCTTCACTTTTTCTACACTTTGGTATAGATTTCATGTTTTCATTTATCAGAATCAAAAACTGAGATTTATCTTTTACAAAAGTATTCTAGCCTTTATTTCAGCATTGCTCCTTTGACAAGAGTTACAAGTTTGTGCCTTCTTTACACGCTTTGGACTTGGGCAGTTTATTCATTCTTCCCTGATAGATCCTCTCCGGCTCTGTCAGACTGGATGGGAAGTGTTTGTGAACTGTCATCTTCAGGTCTTTCCATGACTGTTCTATGGCACTTACATCTAGGCTTAAATCTGGGCTTTGGGTCATTGTCATGCTGAAGAGTGAACCATCACTCCAGTCTCAGGTTGCTGCACTCTGAAGGAGGTTTTCTTTAAGGACCTCTCTGTATTCTACCACATTCATCTTCCTCCAAATCCTGACCAGCCTCCCTGTCCCTGCTGTTGAGAAGCACCCTCATATCATGATGCTGTCAACACCATGTTGTGATGAGGAGTGTCTGGTGTTTGCCAGACTTTGTGCTTGGAGTTTTGCCCAAAACATTCAATTTCTGTCTCATCAAATCACAGAATATGTTTATTCAGAGTCTTTTAAATGCTGTTTGGCAAAGTCCAAGTAGCTGTCATCTTTTTAACTCAAAGTGGCTTCTGTCTGCTCCCTCTACCACAAAGGCCTGTTTGATGGGGCGCTGCTGAGATGGCCGTCCCTCTAGCCAGTCTTCTGAAGCTCTGGTAGAGGGTCTCTCAGGTTCTTGATCACCTCCCTCACCGAGCCCTTTCTCGCTTGATTAGTCATTTTGGCCCGGGTGGCCGGTTCTAGCTCCACTGCACTCCTGAAAACACTTTAGAAATGGTTTGGTTCCCTTGCCCTGATCTATGCCTCTCCTCAGTTTTATCAAGGAGGTCTACAGAGAGCTCCTTAGACTTCATGGCTTGGTCTTTGTCCTGACATGCAGCGTGAATTCTGGGACCTTATACTGTCTACGCAGATGTCGGCCTTTTTAAACTATGCTCATTCAGTGCAGTTTGCCACAGGTGGATTCCAGCATGTTTCACAGAGATGTAATGTAAGAGTTATACAATGAATACCTCAACTGGACTTTAAAGGATAAAACTGATAATGCATGTAGGAAAATGTGCCTGTGTCTCACTACAGTTTCATCAGGTCTAGAGAGAGATCCATGCATTTCATGACTTGGTTTTCCTCTCGACATGCAGTGTGAACTATGAGACCTTACATACACAGGTGTGCGCCTTTCTGGACTATGCTTAGTCAAGTTTATCTGCCACAGGTGGACTCAAATTGTAGATATGGCACAAGGATAATTAAAGCAAACAGGATACACATGATCACAGTTTGGAGTGTCACAGCAAAGGGCCTAAAAACCATTAATACAGAGAAATTTCAGTTGTAGATTTTAATAAATTAGCAAAAATTTAGAGAAGCATGTTTTCACTATGTCATTATGAGTTACTGAGTGTAGATTGATGAGCGAAATGGTAATTTTATCCATTTAAATTAAACATATAACCAAGTGTGCAAAAAGTGAAGAGGTCTGAATCCTTCAGTAAAAACACCAGAAAGCAAGAGAGAGACTCGTTGCTTCTCTCTCACACACAAACAGCAGGAGCCGACTTACATCTTGGTTGCTCATGTCCCAGTAAGGCCTCTCTCCATATGACATCACCTCCCAGGTGACAATCCCATAACTCCAGACATCTGAAGCGGATGTGAACTTCCTGTAGGCGATTGCCTCCGGAGCTGTCCACCGCACTGGGATTTTACCACCCTGAGGAAAAATGATGGAAATAAACACAGGTCACAGGCAGGTCATATGACTAACATGTGACATAACTGTACACGTTGACATGCTAGCATTAGCATTCACCTTAAAGCATAGCTCAGTCTAACACACACACTTCGCTCTGACACCACCATCAAACACACAAGCTATACATTTATTATCACCTTCTGGCAACAATAATACTGTAGCATTTATGTGGCCTCTTCAGTGTTCTTTGTGCGTCAGTGTTCTGTGTGAGTGTGCCCTCACCAGTGAGCTGGTGTAGGTGGGGTCAGAGGTGTCCTCCTCTAGATATCGTGACAGGCCAAAGTCAGACACCTTACACACCAGGTTACTGTTAACCAAGATGTTCCGAGCTGCCAGGTCCCGGTGAACATAACTCATCTCTGCCAGGTACCTGTAACGTCAGCAGGATTTATTACGAAAATGTGTGTATTATCTGTTGCAAGCTACATGGACTACTATAAAAAGGCAATGGGATTTAGTAAGTGTGTGTGTACACACATTATCACTGCCAGCTACCTTTGATGAAATAGGATTTAATGTTTGTGCACAAGATCATGTTTGTGTGTTATCAGCGCCAGATGCCTGCAATAAAACACAGATATGATCCAGTGTGTGTTTCTGAGCAAACATGTTTTTTCAGTGGAAGTGTGGAAAAATTTTACTTTTATGAGGACATGTCTAATTTGTGAAGACATTCTGGCTGGTCCTCATGACTTCCAAGAACTGACTGATGGTTAAGACTTGGTTCTAGGGACTTTGATAGAGTTAAAGTAAGCAGCAATTCATCAGTGTTCTAAGAATTATAGCAAAACTAACATGCATGTCTGTTTGTGGGCATTGTTTCGCTTGTGGTACTGTTCAAAAAATAAACAGCTTTGACTACTTTACAATATGTTATACTGTATAGTTTGTGCTTTTTTTCATGTGTGTTTCTATGAGTGTGCATGTGTGGAAACAGCATATCTCAAGCTGCTGATGGTCGAGTTTAACACATTGCCAGACAGTATTGGATATCACCACATGAAATCTCAGTGTGACAGAATTGGTATTGCTACAAAGAAATTTAACTTCTCACAGCAATCACTGAAAGATCAGAAAAACTTTCTTGTTCATTTTTATGATAAAAATGGAGCTCTATTGCACATGTGTGTGTGTGTGTGTGCACGTGTACCTCATTCCAGACGCGATGCCCCTCAGCATACCAACCAGCTGGATCACTGGGAACTGCCCATCATTCTGCTGCACAACCATGAACCATGACAGGATTATTTTTAGTTTCTGTTATCAGACTTCTTCAGTCTAGTTATTAAGAGAAAGTCCAGAAGGTGAAAAAACATTTCAGAATTTCACATAAGACACCATGACAGTTGCTATAACAAACATTTTTTTTTGACAATTTCCATTCAGCTGATGGTGTAGCAGCTGTGGTCTGTGCAATGTGTACTGTAAAGTTGTTATACTGATTTATTCTGTGCGTGACATCTATTACTCGTCTGTCTAGCCTGAAGATGGATCCCTCCTCTGTCACTCTTCCTGAGGTTTCTTCCATTTTTCCCTGTTCCGTGCCTACTGAAACCCAAAGGACATGCTAACACTCCAAAACCATCTTGCTCATGATTTTCACATTAAAGGAGCATTCGTAGATTGTTATGCTGCACATAGTTTGTCCTGTACAATAGTTAATCAGCTATTTTCACTTTGAATAGCAGGATTAGTAATGGCACAAAAACGTGGCCTTAAAACAGGCATGTACTGATGAGCTTACAAAGTTAAATTATTTTTCCCTCTGGAGAATAAGAAGGTTAACCAGAGATGTTTTAAAGCTGAATTAAACTGATTGTGTCCGTTTATCTGACAACATTGACCAATGGGCTTTTGTTGTTCCAGTGATCTACAATATGTGATGTGAATCATCACATTTCCTTGCCAGTATGACTCAGGTTATTAGTAGACATGTTTAAAGAATAATGAAAACACATTTCTTTTATTATAACATTGTTGTACTTTGTATTTGAAACAAATATCAACACAACAGCCACATATTTTGAGGAGCTGGAGGTCTGAAGTAACTAAGCACCAGTGATAACCAAAACGTTTTCCTCTTTGTGAGTTCACACTTTCACCTTTGGGCCAGACTGTCGCCGTCTCATAAACACCTCTGACACCCTCGCTGACATAGCAGCAGTTGAAGGTGTGCAAGTCTTTTAATTCACTTTGTGCATCAGAGAGCGCCTTTGATGCTCTTCTAGCTTAGTCCTCTGCCAGCAAAACCTTCTTCTAGGTACACACAGATGCATATACGTAACTGTGTCTTATGTGTGCAAGATGGTCACTCTAGGACATCAACGCTAATGAGATTGACCACTGTTTTTGTGTGTGCATACGAGTCAGCGGATGATTTCTGAGTCAAAAGGGGTCATGCTGCGAGAACCCAACATCAGAGAGTTTTTCCTTCTGTTTCTAGAGGCACCTGGAAAGGAGGGCAGGTTCAGGCAGACGGACACGACGACAGACAGGCACAAGGATGAGGAAAAAGCAGGAGGTGCATGTCTTTTTCACATTATTAGATGTTCATGGGAACATCTTTTAAATCACTTCTCAAAAAAGCCTTTTATTATTGCTACTACATTAATAAAATACTTTTATTTCCAACATGCATTATAATTAGTTTTAAGCTGTTGAGTCATTTGTTCCATGTTACCTTTGTACTATTTATGTGTCTTTATCCTTTAATTGGTGCTGTTTAAATAATAATAGTCAGATATCAGAGTAGTGGGACAGTGCACATTCATACAGTGGTGCTACACCTGCCCAGCATCAGAGCTATAGAGAGCTCTTTAGTGAATATTACAGCTACATCTGGTGTCTCTGAGGTGTGATTTACCCTGAGAAATGAATCAAGGGCTCCATTCTCCATGAACTCGGTGATGATCATCGTAGGCCTGCTCTTGGTGACCACGCCCTCCAGCCTGATGATGTTTGGTTGGTCAAACTGGCCCATGATTGATGCCTCAGCCAGGAAGTCCCGCCTTTGCCTCTCAGAGTAGCCCACCTTCAGGGTCTTGATGGCCACGGTAATTTCTTTTTTCCCAACAGGCTTTAACTGGCCTTTGTACACCTCCCCAAACTCACCTGAAGAAGAAGAACGTGTTAAAGGGCTGAAACTAAACCAAATGTTACATTCACATTATAGGCTCACTTCAGAAAAGCTTTTTAGATGCATACAAGTTAGATGCATACATACAAGAACGTCATTTGTGCAACAGTCAGATTGAAGACATAAGTCGAGACTCGAGACAGAAAAGTATGACTCAGCAGAGAAAGAAAGTGCATTGTTGGGTATAGCAGTTTTCTGATTCTCTCTTGAATACACAGCCCTTTATAATAACTTAATAAAAGAAACTAATCAATAAATGCATTTTAATCACATTTTATGATGTAAAACAGGTCAGCTGTGAACTCCAGATGGGTGGCTTTCAGCTAGCTTTCATTATTAAACACCTTCCGTCAGTCAAACAAGAGCCAACATATTGCGCTTTGCAGCAGCTGCGATGTGGAGCATTGTGAGGGGCAGGGTGTGTTAAACACATAAACACATTCCCAGTCCTGGGAGCTGCCCTCTGCACCTTCAGTGCAATACTGATGGCCTCTGAGCAGCTCTGCTGGAGCACACTGAGGTCAAGGGCTTTGTTGAAGGGAACATGGATGGTACTTTTGCAGACTGAAACAACAAAAATGGAATCCCCTCAATAACTCCTGTGAGGAGTGAGAGAGGGTTGTGAAGTGGCAAACAAGATAAAAGGGAGAGTGCCATTACTGCTGAAATGCTGTCATCTCTCGTTTTAAACATAGGCAGCCAGGTGAGTTCATAGGTTCACTCCCTGTCTGTAGTTTAATTTATCTCGTAGGCTAAAACACCCTCAGCTGTGTTTATTTTCCTTTTAGCATCGATTTACTGAGCTGTGTTTATTTGTTAAAAAGTTGCAGTGTGTTCCAAGTGAAAGCTGAAATAACCCTGATGACTCATTCTGGTGTTCCATAAAGCCGTACCTTGATCCAAGCATTATTAATCTGACACTAGCAGTGTGTGCTGCAGATAAAAATACTGTATGTTCAAGGTGGACCAGTCTACAGTGCAGGGTCCCAGCATGCACTGTGTCCAACAAAGCTTTATTGGAGATAGATCAGTTCCCACCATTTCTTTAAATTTTATTACTGTGCAATAGAAATCTTAATTTGCAAAACTGTACTTGAGTACTTTAAAGTTTTTGGTTTAGTGCAACATGAAAAGTACATGGATGTGTAAAAATAAAAGCCCAAACTGTAAACTAAAACTTCTAATTATTCTCGTGTTTCTTGTTATTGCTCTTTGTAAGTTGGACTGATTGGACATTGTTATTAAATTCTCAAGAAAATGAACTGGTTTTCATCTCAATGAATGAGTTCAATATGCAGAAAAAAATCCTTCCTGTGAAGACGCATACATCTTTTGTCAAAATAAAAAATAAATGCAGCCATATGCTGCTTGGGGACATGAATATTGAACATAATTTCAAAATAAAAGTCCTCATCCCGGGGGTGGGGGGGAATCACTGTGTGAATAATGGATGAGCGATGGGAACTAGATGACAGAATGTGTCGTCCCGACTCACTGTGATCTCTGCTCCACATCTCACTGCTCATTAAAAACTATCTGCTGTCAGTGCTGTAAACCAGCAGCCAGAGAGAATGATGGAGCGCAAAATAGGAGAGAGAATGGAAAGAAGGGGACGTTAGGAAGGATGAAGGCGTGCGGAAATAAGAGTGAAGGATAGAAATGAGACCATATTGATAATAATGGAGGATGGAAGCATAGATGAATGGACAGCAAAGGGAGAAATGAGTAATTCTTCACAAAAAAAGGCAAGATAAGATGTCACTGTCTTTTTATAAAATTGAGGTGGTCGAGGAGAGAACATAGCATTAGAAGAAATATTAACTGGTTCTCTAAGTAATTACGCGTCAGGTGAGACTCATTTCTATTATAATTGAAAGTGTTTACATACTTTCCTTTAGTCAAATAAAATGCTTTTTATGACGCCCATTTCTTACAGTGTGAGTGATAATAAGAGGGAAAGA